AGTCGTAGTCTGCCAGCTGCAGGAACTGGTCGATCTTCTGGTTGAGGTTGGTGTAGATCTCCTCCTCGGCCGCGTGCCGGGCGTCCTGCGAGGGACACGCTGCGTGGGGTGGGGTCTCCACACCACAGATCCTCCCTCTCAGGCCTGAAGGTGGCACAACCCGAAGCTCAGGGAGCACCCACGAGGCTGCTGAAGCCTCAGGGCAGTCAGGTTGGTGGGACAGGTGCCACCGGGTCCAGGGGGATTCTGCCTCTGAAGCAACCTTGGGACAAATCTAGTGGAGGATGGAAGAGGAACATCCCGTATGGAAAAGGGTTGAGACCCACCAAACCAAAAGGTGTGGGGTGCAGGAGGCCACAGAGGAGACCCCCTGCCAAAATAAGGCAGGAAACTCAGCTTTAGGCCAAATAGGTGGGTGATGCCAGAATGGACTTCCCTGAGGACAGATCTTAGTCTCCTGCTGAGTTATCCCAAGGGCAAAGCTCACCCAACCAATTCCCTGCTGTTCCCATGGGAACAATTCAAACACCCCACACTTGACCCATCATGGCCTTAAGATTCCACATAAAGTATGTGTGTGAACCCTCCTGGGGTAGGATTTCAAGACTGGGAAGTCTGTGAGTTCCTGTCAGCCTTGATTTTTAGGGAATACTGCTAAAAGGAGTGCAAAGGTACAGAAATGTAAAGCTCTGCAAGTCTGTTCTCCTTTGGGGTTGAGAGGTTCATGGTCAGACATGAACAGCAAAATGAAAATTCATTTTAAAAATAAATAAATTATCAGGCTTTTGGTCAAAAGCCTGATGATGATGATGATGATGATTATCATCATCCTTTAGATAATCAGGGCTGTAAGTCAAGGCTACAAACTCTCAGGATCTCGACAAAAGCAACGCTGCGAAGGAACCCAAAAGTGACGGCACAAACTTCACAAAATATGACCAAACCATCTTCTGGCTCAGCCCAGCTGCCTACAACTCCAAATCCACGCTCTCCAACTGCCCACCAGCAGCTCCTCCTGGAGGTGGAGCCCCTGGATCTCTCACCTTGAAGGTGGTGGTCCCGTAGAGCTTCGTCGTGTGCACGGTTTCCGGAAGCACGTTGGTGATGTTGGTGATGAATTCCTCGAGGAACTTGCAGGATTTCTCCAGATGGGTCGTGTTTATAATAATCTGCACGAGCTGTAAAGGCAAAAAACAACAAAAAAAAAGGGGGGTTCAATCGTGGTGCTCACAAAGCCAGGGAGGTTAAATCCAAGGTTAAATCCAAGGAATTCTGGCGTGAAAAGCTGGCGCTGTGCAAACACAGGGAGCTTTGCTCTGGACTCAAAGTGTCTCCTCCTTTACCAACAGCAGAAACTTAAATAAAAGATAATTTGGGGGTGAAAGCCTTTCCCATGACAGCCACTGACACCACGGGAGATGATTATTCCTAATGACTTTCCTACACTCAGCTGTCACTCAGGCCTCGTGTCAGCCCTGCCCAAGCACAACAGGCCTCCCAAAAAAAAACTGCCCTGACAAATCAGAAGGCAAAAAAAAGTCTTCTGTCTGCCAGTGTACCCTAAATAACCCACACCTGGAGTGACACCCAGCAGCATCACATTGAGGCAAAACAAAGAAACCACCAGGTTTGGCTTTTGGGAGGGTGCTGGTGGCGACCAGATCTCTCCCAGACCCAGGAGGCATCATAATGCTGGATTAATTATAATTGCTGTAGAACTATTATTAAGTTATAATTGAATTGCTGGAGTGTGGTGTGGTCGTCTGGAGCCACCTCCTCTACAGGAATGGTTTTGAAACACTCACAAATCTGAATGAGATTGGATTAATCAGTGATTTCAGTGGTTTAGGCACAGGAACATTGAAGTGACACTACAAAAGATCACAGAGTCCAACTCTTGGTGGTGCTGGATGACATGGGAAGGGTGATGGTCACATCAGGGAGGTTCAGTGTGGATATCAGGACAACAAAGTCATTGGGAAGGTGGTGCAGGACTGGAAGAGGGTGCCCAGAGAAGCTTTGGGACCTCTGTTTGGGAGAAAGGAGAAGTCAGGTAAGAAACCCACGGCTGGCACGATCCAAGTGAGCGATGATCCCAATTCCTTCCCAATATCCCATCTAACCCTGCCCTCTGGCAGCTGGAGGCCGTTCCCCCTTGTCCCACCACCCCAAACCCACGTCCCACCTCCGTCAGCCCCACGTTTCTCCTCTTGATGACCGTCTGTAAACAGTTGCTCAGCGTCCGGGTCAGCAGCAGGTTCGTGGATTTCCGGATCATGTCGTCGACCTCGGTGGAGCTGGAAAAGGGGGGAATCGCAAGAGAGGTTTGCAAAACAGTCCATGAAAAGAAAATCATCTTTGTCCCCTTCCTTCTCAACGCTCTCCCACCTCACCTGTCGTCGTCCACGCAACGCTTACAGCTGCTGACATACTGATATATATGGAAATTCCAACTGTTTAGGTCAGGAAGGGGGACTAACATGTCCTAAACCTGAGGCTCAGATACAGAACATTCCCCAGAATCAAAGGAGTGCAAA